GAGAGAGAGAGAGAGAGAGAGAGAGAGAGAGAGAGAGAGAGAGAGTGAGAGAGATAGGGATAGAATCATAAAAAACTCATATTAAGAACTAACAAGTTCCCCTATAAGTGGGCTCATTAAAATTACGGTACATCTCCTAATTGGTTTAATTTTCAGATATCACAAACTGATTGCGTAATACGTTAAGTCGGGAAAATTACAAAAACTTGCAATGAAAATCAAAACAGAGATAGCTAAAAAGCCAGATAGAGAGAGGGAGAGAGAGAGAGAGAGAGGAGAGAGGAGAGAGAGATATAATAAGGTAAGACTTGTGGACTCAAGAGAGATATGAAACGAGCGATAAAAACGCTCAACGAGACAGATAGGAAAAGTAAGAGAGATAGAGAGAGAGAGAGAGAGTCATAGAGTGGGACAGATAGGGAGGGAGTAGCCCAGAAAGAGGTAAAGGTAGAAAGAGAGAAGTAAGACAGAGAGGTGTGAGTGAGATACAAAGAGACAGAGAGACAGAGACAGGCAATGAAATAGCGATGAGCAGAAAGAGAAAGAGAGATTCATTGAGAGAGAGGAAGACAGAAAGCGGTAAATTTCAAGTTAAGATACCGATGTAAATCAAATGTAAACAATGTTTAATTTTGATTGAATTACATTACATTATTAAGAATTTTAAGAATAATAAAAACGGGCATATCCTTAGACTGAGACTGGCAGCTTCTTTAATCTATAAAGAAATTAAAGTTCTATTAAATTCTCTCTGCAACATTCCTTCCTTTTTTATTCGCTATGAGCGAAACTCATGCCCAAAGATCACATGCAATAGTACTAATGAATACCTGAAAAAATGGCAAAATGAATATGTAAAACGTTGTTAAATGATATAACCACGTAAACAGCTGCAAGAAGGACAACAACGTGAAAGTGTTGAAAAACGTAAATTTGCAACTTTATTTTAGATGCGGAGCATCCATTAAAATGGCTCAACATAATTCAAGTGTGTTTAATTTTAAATTAATTATGCCTGCAAGCAAGCATGTGAGTGTGTATGAGTATGTGTAACACACACACACACACACAGACACACACATTTACTCTTACATCAACACAATTTAAATATGTAATGAAATTTGCGCATAAAACTTTGGCTTTGGCAGAGCTTAACTTTCAACAAAAAAAGAGAAGAAAAAAAAGATAAAAACACAGCAACAAATAACATGTAAACCAGACGCTATGAAGAGTGCTCGACTAGCTGATGCCCTGTATATTGATAATGTAGTATTGTAATGTTATTTAAATTACAAAAATATTTGAAATTATTTCACCAAGACAATAAAATTGCGGACTTGCTTTGCTCCTATTTTATTTATTATTTTTAGTTCTAAACTTCAATACTTTAAGGTCTGTTGCACAGCTTTAATTTGATTATACCCTGTAATTTGGCTGCCTTTGAGTGTTCAGTGTGTATGCGAAAAAATGAGAGCTAACATAATAATGTTCGTAGTCTCTTTGGTCATGTCGCATGCAACAGCAACAGCAACAGCAAACTAAACAGCAGAGCCTTCGGGTTGAGGGCCAAAGCGACAGCAACAATAACAAACAGTGGTCCGTTTAAAGTGTTTCTATACACATACACATACAATGTATATATATATGTACATGCTTAAATTGCATTTTTTGTTAGTTGGCAATTTAATTGGAATAGTTTTGGACAAACATCAACAGACTGGGGCTCTGCTGCTGCTGCGGCTGCGGCAGCTCCATGGCTGTCCACTGAGCTAATGTAAAGGCATTTCCCGTCAGGCATTAGTCGAGATTCAACTTTTAAGGCATGTTTGCATTCGCCAGCTGAGCTCGGCTCAATAATGGCTGCCATGCCCTTGGCAACCTTGAAAGGCATGCAACACATGCACCTATCTCGTATGACCCTCTCCACCCCCCACACCCAACAATTGCCAACTCTTGCTGCGACCCATTGTTTTATTGGGCACATAAAACTTTATTTAATAACCGCTGCATGCTGCGAGCTGGCCATAAAAAGCAGCTATTAAAATTGCAAAACAGAACGAAAAGCAGCGAATGAATAAACGAAAACATTTAAAATAAAATCATGCCTGAGCCCTTTTAGTTGGGCGTGGCAATGGACGAAATTTATGGTCTTACCGGCTTTATGCATTCTCTCTCTTTCACTCTCTCTCTCTCTCTCTCTCTCTCTCTCTCTTGCTCTATCGGTATATCCCTCCCACTCTGATGTGTCAATGAGGACATCGCCTGGCCGAGTGCTGTGGCAAATAATGACGTCAAGGCTATGATTGAAAGGATTATTGTTATGATATTTTCATTTCGACTATAAACCGTTTGATTTATAGACTTGTTTTTCGATGATGACAGAGGATATTATAAAATGTTTTAAATTTTTTCTTAAATAGGTCACAGAGGCAAGACTTTAATAGGAAACTACTATTAAATAGTTACGGCCAATTTACCACGTATACCTAACGATAATTATTGAGCTAATTATTAAAGGGGAACGATGGCAGTGAGAGCCAGGGTGAATTCTACCCAGGCTCAGGTATATACATATGTAGTTTTAGCCAAGTGAACACATTTCTTAGCCTGAAAAGAGTTTAAAATAAAATAAAAAAATTTAATTGGAATATTTTTAATTCATTAATAAATACACTTTTCTTTCATTTGTTTATTTGACGCCTTTTTTTTTTATTTATTCTTTGTTTTGGGTTTACGTTTCTTTATTAGGACTTAACGTTATAAATTTTTATATTTGTAACTAGACGATTATAAATTTTGCCATAAATACATTTATTTATATATATATTTATATTTTTCATTTGGTTTTCATGTCAATTGAAAGTAATAGAGCAAGCAAATGAAATGTAAATTAAAATATTAATTTTGAGTGATTAAAACTAAGCTCTTTTTGTTTACAGTTTCATGTTTTATGTATATAAGGGCAAAAAAAAAGTTCATTTATATGGCTACAAAAAAAAAAAAAAAAAAAAAAAAAAAAAAAAAAAAAAAAAAAAAAAAAA